TAAAGAATATTTTGGATCAATTGCTACTTACATGTTCGATATATATCAATTAAACTTACACACATGACTCATGAGGAAGAGAATATGTTTCTTATTTAATCGGAAATGAATTTCTGAGTCCAAGGCCATTTCAAGATAATATTACGCTATGTATGTATACTTTGTATTGTATTGATATCGGTTATAATGATATCAAATTAAAAATATACATGATATCTTTTGTAGTATTGTTCTTGAATTTTTATTTGAATATAAAATTTTAATTTCATTGATATTCGATTATCGAAAAAATCTTTAATCTTTAATCTTTAATTGGTTAGATCAAATAAATGTAAATTTTTTCCAAAATTATTGAAAATATAAAATATTTAAAAAAAATTAAAGTAAACAAAATAAATTCAAGAATTTTATTATATAATAATATTATATAATAAACAAAAGAAATGAATTATTTTTATTAATATTAAAATATTTACAATTTTAAAAATACATAAAATTAATTATCCTTCAGACACGTTGATAAATAAAGAAAATATTTGAATATGTTATTCATTTCATATACAAAAGAATAATAAAATATGTTTTCACAAAGAATTAAGCTTTTTCAATCAGCAATATCAGTGAATCACGAGATTTAATCAGAACAAACGTGTAACAAAAGCGAAATTTATTGACAACAGATAAGAAATACAATTCTTTTCCCTGTAAATTATGCTTCTGACTCGATTAAATAAAATTCTGAAAGAGAATACGTAATATAGGTAGATCGTCGGGATTCTCCGTTAACCGATACTCATGGTTCCCCATTTTAGGTTGCCACAAACGAGCGGATGACCTACTTGTTAATTGGCCGACAGATAGGAGCGGCCTGATTACGACCAACACGCCTTGATAATCTGATAACGTATCATTGCCCACGAATTTACGAACGCGATGAAAAAGGGACGAGATCCTTTCAAAGATTCGAAAAGTCGTTCAGCGTAAAAATCGAACGTATAATAAAAAAATATTTCATAAAAGTTAGCGACAAGACTCTAAGTATGAGACTGTTTTTATCGTTTTTTGCTCTTGTTATTTTCTCTCGTAATATCTTTTTGTTACTATGTGCCGAGTATCGTAATTATAATCATATTGAGTAACATCTAGATACGAATGTTATTTGAATGAAAAAAATTAATTATGATCATTTTTAACGAAGATATCGGTCAAACTTTTTTAGTTTCTTTTATTTTATTTAGCTTTTTTTTTTAAATTCAATTAATATTTTTTATAGGGATGAAAGTTATTATTTAAATATATTATTATTAAATTTATTAAATATTTGAATTAATTATTTGCAAATGAAATTTTGTATCTGAAAAAGATATATTGCAATGAATTCAATTTTTGCGTAACTTTTTTTTTTATGAATGTTTGCCTTAATTTTTTCCGTGACACGTACAGTTTGTAGATAACATAAATATTGTGTGAATATCTAGTATATAATTGAATTTATCTCGTAAACGGAAATAAATAAATAAATAAGAAGAATGAAATATAAATAACATATCTTATCGTTCATCATAGATAGATAAATATAGTATTATGAACAGTTTTTTGTGAATATATATTTATTTTTAAATCAAATTAATCATCTTATATCGAAAATAATAATTTTCCTTTATCTGCGCAAACAAATTAATTTTAACAAGATAAAATATAATTGAATATTGATTTCGAGAATTAAAAATAGATTAAAAATAGCAAAAATTATTCACCAAAACTTTTATTTTTCGAATCGTTTCAAAATTTTCAAAGATTAATCTGAACTTTCTAAATTACAGTTTAAAATCCACGGTTTCTCTTTTAATCTAGATATTTCAATTTTAAAATTAAATTTAAACCACTAATAATTCATGCAAATGATGCAATTGGATTTAGAAGGAAACGTGATTAGAAATAGGTCTCTAATTTTTAATTGGAGAAAAATGTAGATAATATCGTATTGCTTGATTTTCATTATTGATATAATTTATAAAATTCGAACAAATCAGAACATACAAGTATAATTATAAAATATAACATAATCTATTATGTTTTATAATTTGACCAAATAAAATTGTATTAATTACTATTATTAATTTTCTAAAATTTATTATACTGAAATATATTAGAAATCTTTAATAATTTCTAATAAAAAGATTCTTCTATATCTACATTTTCAGAAGTAATATACTGAAATTCTTACTTATAAAATATACAATCATATTTTACTATTAAACTCGAATCATTATTTATGATTAATTTCCATCTTTCGTACCCACAGCAATCAGCAAATTGAAATCGAATTTCTCCAAATCAGGAACCAATTCACCGATCCATAAACTCTCCTCTCACGAATATTTCGCAAAATATTAATGGATCACGCGATTCAAGCTGTACGAGCACGAATTCGCGAAAGCATTAACAATCGATTTTTCATCCCCTAGACGCGGATGGAAACGGGGTTCGATTGTTTGTTTTTCCATTAAATTATGTATGTATGAATTATTTTGTCATGCGAAGTGGCTCTTGTATCACATGTACGATTCATTTCCGCGTGGAAGTCAAGTACGTATCGGCCTCTTGATGAGACGAGGACGGACCCATTTATACCCTTGGGGGAACCGAGAGGGATGGACAGAGATAGATTGGAGTGAGAGGTAATGTAGAAATCTCTATACGCCAGATGCATACGGGGGACGCGTGTGTTTTCATGTTGGAAAAGTTTTTTTTATCGGTCGGACAAAGGAAACCGCGAAACTCGAGTCGAGCGAGTAATAAATTCGCGCGAGTTGCGTGACGGCTCAATTTCATACCAACCTGTCCTTCGTGATGTCGATTTGTCAGACGATTTTCCTCTTACTTATACATCTGCGTTAAAAATCTATCCGGATATTTATTCTTGTTAGGATGCATTTTGAATTTTAATTTCAAAATTGAGTATTCTTTGTAATTAGTATATCTATATATAATAGAGTATTAATTTGAAAAATGTATTCATATATCAATCAAAAGAATTTTTTTGTTGTTCGAGAAAACTTTATCACTTGAAATCTCCCTTTTTGAAAATATTTTTTAAATAAAAGATAAAAGTTGAATAGTCTCGAGAAGAATCTAATAAGATAATTACTTTTTTATAAATTATTGATATATTGATCAAGATAAAATCTAAAAAATGTTTTTATCGCATGCTCGAACGAGATATTCGTGTTCTTTCCATTCCCTAACGAAGGGATTATCGTTAATTATTCTTAATTGCGAGCAGACTGGCTTAATTTCTATTTTTTTCCGGATCGTTTAAAACGTTTAAACGTCCTAATATTTATTTTGTTATCCTAGTTCTTTTCTATTTTCTCTTCATATCTTCACGCGTATGGCCTCTTCGAACTATATTTTTGCTTCCATCTGCCGGAAGACGGATGCGTATGTCGAAAATCATTCCGTTCTACGCGCTATTATTTCGCTACCTTCTGGGGAATTTTTATTCTCTTCTTCGAATTCGTTATCGTTAATTGCTCTTAATTGAGAATTCGTTCACGCGCCGACACCTCTTTTGAGATGAATTTTTTTTCGTAGATCA